GGCCGAGTCAAGTCAAGTCAAGTCAAGTGGGTCAAGTGGTATGTGGTGCCGCTGCTTGAAGCAGAGAATAAGAAGCGGCTCGTGAAGGTGAAGTCGGAGTAGGCTCTTCGGTTCGAATCTCGAAATGGCCTCAAAGTTGGGTGAAAGGTCGGCAATTACGTGGTGCGGTGCTGAGGACTTTCACTTAAACTCAAGTCAACTTGGTGCTGTGCTGTGGCTTCTGGATCGAGAATCGAGATGTCTTCTGAGCTAACTCTAGTAACGGTCCTTGCGTGGTGCTGCATCTGGGGGCAGAGATCAAGAATACACAGCAGTAAACCTCGTAGGCGGAAGCTTCTCAAGGCGGCTTTTGGTGGGGGGTTGGGGGTGGGGGGAAAGGGTAGATGGGAGGGCATAGGAAAGTAAGGGGGGGGGTTGTAGAATTGAGGTGATTTGAGGAGGGGAAGACCCTTTGGCGACAGTGACGCTGGTGGGAGGAGGTGAGCAGAAAAGGGTGTGCAGAGCAGACACCTGTGGGAATAATCCGGTTGTACAATGTTTCACTGAGGAATGCAAGGTTGAGCTGGTTCATTTTTTGAGGCGCCTCAAAAGTCGTCTCTCTACCCGCAATTTTTATATTGATCGAATTCTTGTTGCTTGGAAGTGTGCACGTAACGTGCAACAGTGCCTGGTTCGCGCGAGGTTACCACCACCCAATTCCAAGACTGCCAAAGACAAACCCGAAGAGTGACTGGACACCTAGGAATTTTCTTTTGTGTCTAGTTGGCGCATTTCTTATCTAGTTACGCGCCCGGGGTAGGATTTCCCTGTGTAGATCTCGAGGCTTGGGTGTTCTTTAAGACCCCTTGCTTGTTCGCTCTTTCACTTTGAACTCTTGCACTGATGAAGGCCTAGCGGGTATGATCCCCGTGCAAAGCCGAAACATGTTTGCTTTCGTCTAGAGTTTGAACTGAGTTGTACGTTCGGATCTTAATCAATTTTTTCGAGGGTTACTTTTTTCACTGGTTGACTATCATCCCTTTGCTAAAGGCGACCTTGCCTACTGCTGCCCTTCTTCATGAGCACAGATCCGTGGGACTTTGAAAAGTTTCTTTCGGAAGAAGAGGCCGGTATGAAGGGACGTCACTCTAAGAATTCATCTCGCGGAGGGGGTTCGTCTGGCCGCCCGGGTTTTTCTGCTGAGAAGCAGTATCGCGTTGCGGGTTCTACGTTCCCTCCCTTGCCACTGGTCCGCGATGATCGTTTCATTGAGAAGCAACCAGAAATTCTTCCCGCTGCTGGCTCGTCGGGTCTTTCGTGCGCGTTCGCGACGGAAGCTACTGCTGACGTTACTCCAATCCCTGAGCCGTTCAAGGGATGGTCGCTGTCTGCAGTTAAGGGCTTTCGGGACGACTACAAGTCATATCTGAAGGCGAAGGCGAAACTGAAAAAGATGAAGGAGCTCAACGACAAGGGCGAGATACTTCACAGTATCCGCACGAAGGCGGTGGAGTTCCAGACAAAGTACGCCACCATCAAGGAGAAATCTGCAGGGCTCGTCGCAGCAACGCATCTGGAGAACCAGAAACGTCTCCAGGCGGATTTCATTTCGTCTAAAGAAGCGGAGGTCGAGGAAATTCTGGCAGCGAGCAACTCGCATGTCACGGTTTTGGCAACAAAGCTCGAGGAGTACATACAAAGCCTTTCCGCCGACCCAGAGCTGGTGGTGTCTGACGCCGCCAAGGAGCGATTTCGTCGCTTGAAGGGACGCTGCATCGAAAAGGTTAACTCTGAGATTGCTGCTGCTAAGGATGAGATCGTCATCCGAGAACTGGATCGACAGCGAAAACAGGCCGCTGAGGACTTGAAGAAAGCCGCTGCCGCGGAGGAACTGAAGGAGATGGATACAGAGCTGTCGATGGAGGAGATCCTGAAGAACCACACTAAGAAGATGGCGGATCAGCTTCGCAGGGAGATCACAGCGAGTGTTGAAGCCAAGCTATCGAAGAAGTTCAAGAAGGAGCTCTCTCTGGGTGAACAGGAACCTACGACAGCCTCCAACGCGGACTCCAAGGCTAAGAAGGAGAAGAACGATGCGCCTTCGAAGCCGAGAAGGAAGCGCGGAGCTAAGAAGCCGAAAACGTAGAACTCCAACGGTGACAACGGGCAGCAGGGGAAAGGCGCCAACAACAACGACAAATCCAGCGCCAAGGGTCCAAAAAACGGCGGAGGCGGCCCCGGAAAAGGGCCGCGCAACAAGTAACGAGCCATGATTTGGCTCTCCGCTGGTTCGGTCGCATGACGTATCGGCAGGCGACGTCGCGCATACTGAACCAGGGAGTACACAACCTGAGCACCAGAATCTTGTCTCCTGACGAGAAGACGGCGCTTGGGTTGGGTCTGAAGTTCATACCAACGCCCGCCAGATCCCTTTCCTCCGGAGTGGAACTCGATCAGCTACTCCGACAGGTTTCCCTTCACTTTTTCTTCAACGAGTCAGGTGGTTCAGCGGCGGGTTCGCGTTTTCGTGTACGGAAGCCCGGTTGGGTCCCTGATGTGAATCCGATTCCAGAGCAGGTTTTCAAAGAAACGGTTTCTGACCTTTCTGTCCTGTTGAAAGTTAACAGACCGAGGCGTGTTCGGAACATCTCGTTCGGCGTCGCCCAGGCTCTGCGTTCCATTGCAGCCGACCGCAGCGTGGTGATTAAACCGGCGGATAAGAACTTGGGGGTGACGGTGTTAGACAGGGAGCACTACGTCAGGCTGTGTCTGGATCATCTCGACGACCGGAGCACCTACGAACCAGTCTTCTCCAATCCCACAGATTCTGTCTTCCAGCAACTGCGCACACTTCAGGTGGCATGGGGCCCTGCTCTTCCAGATAGTCTATGGAGGTATTTCTTACATCAACCTAGCGGGGGCTGGAAACCAGCGGCATTTTACATCCTACCGAAGCTGCATAAAAAAACCCTGGCGGGGCGTCCGATCGCTGCTTCGCATGCGTGGGTCACTACTAACGTCAACACTTGGTTGGATGCTGAACTGCGGCCGCTGGTTCTTAAACAACCTTCCTACCTTCGCGACTCCCTCTCGCTGCTACTTGAGCTGGAACGCACTACTCTTCCCCGAAATGTGCTTCTGGCGACGTATGATGTCACCGCGCTGTACCCCAGTATTCCACTTCGGCGCGGTCTTGATACGGTCAGCGACTTTCTGCAGAGGGAGAACTCGTGTCAGGCCTTCCCGGTCTTGGCCCTGCTGGAGTGGGTCATGTTGAATTCCTACGTGGAGTTCAATGGCAACATCTACCGCCAGATTCAAGGGACCGCCATGGGAACTCCCGTGGCGGTCTGCTTTGCGGTACTTTTCATGAGCCGACTGGACGAGGTGCTGAAGCAGAGGTGGACCGGGACGCAGCCGCTTCGACACGTCAGATACATCGACGATGGGTTCATTGTCTGGCCTGGAACCAGAGATGAGCTGGAACGGTACTTCAACACGTTCAACAGCCTCGACCCGAATATCAAGCTTACGTGGCATGTCTCGGAGCAGTCAGTGGATTTCCTCGACATGGTCCTCTACAAGGGGGACCGGTTCGCTGCCTGCGGTACCTTGGATTTCCGGACCTTCCAGAAACCTATGAACCGGTATCTCTACCTCCCATTCTCATCATACCACCCACGTCACTGCAAGGTTGGGTTCATCCAGGCCGAATTGAAGCGGTATCTACTCCGCTCGTCATCAGCCTCGGCCTTCCTCGCAACGAAGCATGAGGTTACCACCACCCAATTCCAAGACTGCCAAAGACAAACCCGAAGAGTGACTGGACACCTAGGAATTTTCTTTTGTGTCTAGTTGGCACATTTCTTATCTAGTTACGCGCCCGGGGTAGGATTTCCCTGTGTAGATCTCGAGGCTTGGGTGTTCTTTAAGACCCCTTGCTTGTTCGCTCTTTCACTTTGAACTCTTGCACTGATGAAGGCCTAGCGGGTATGATCCCCGTGCAAAGCCGAAACATGTTTGCTTTCGTCTAGAGTTTGAACTGAGTTGTACGTTCGGATCTTAATCAATTTTTTCGAGGGTTACTTTTTTCACTGGTTGACTATCATCCCTTTGCTAAAGGCGACCTTGCCTACTGCTGCCCTTCTTCATGAGCACAGATCCGGAGGAATGCAAGGTTGAGCTGGTTCATTGAGTTTTCACAAGCCCCAAAATCGGAAACTGGGAGGAGAATTGATGGGTGCAATCTGCTCGTGCCACATGAAAAAAGGAGGACACCCATACGATACGAGAGCCAACGCTGTGATGATTAAGGAGGACAAAACAACCATAGATATATATTCGTACAATGCTAAGTTTGGCAGAGTCAAACTGGGTAACTACGGTAGTACTAATGATCTGCTACTACTCCCAACATACCTACACAAGCCAAGTTGCCACGCGAGCAACCTACAACCAGCTATTAATGCATGCTATTGATGCATCCTAAGGTATTCATTCACCATGCATGCGTCCAAGATATGTCCTCATGTCCCATACTGTAGGTAGAGCCTTGAACACCCTACTGACAAGCAAATTCAATGGTTGACAACCCACTGTCACTGAGCCAAGTGTTACCGGGCCAAGTCTTGCCGAGCCAAGTGTTACCGAGCCAGGTGTTACTGAGCCAAGCGTTACCAAGCCAGGTGTTACCGAGCCAAGTGTTACCAAGCCAAATGTTACTAAGCCATGTGTCGCATGATGCCGAACCAAGTGTTACCGAGCCAAGACAGGCTGGCCCTTCACATGGTGTCCTTGACCCGGAGCTCTGTGCCCCTTCCCTACAGGGTGCCCCTCTCCTGCCTTCTTAGCCGGTGCCACTCCAGTCCTCCACTTCTTCCCACGCTTCACTGTACCCGCAGTTACAGGGTTACCAGCACCTACTGCTCCTGCTGCTGCCGTGCCGCCAGCTCCCACCTGGGCATTGCTGCTGGTGGCGGCTCCTCCGTTTGAGTCGATGCTGTAGCTGGCATTCGGTATAGTCACACCCCCTGTGGTCTGCGACGCTATAGGAACGTCTTCTCCGGTTTGAGGGGGGATGAGGGTTGAGGGGATGGTGGGATCATTGCTGCTCCCGCTGCTGCCGCTGCTGCTGCTGCCTTGGCTGCCTTGACTTCCTTGACCGTTTTGACTGCCGGCGCTGCTGCCGCCCGCATTAACCTTGCGGCCGGCGGGAGCAGGAGAGGAAGCTGACGCGGCAGGGGACACGTCAGCATTGGGAGTACCGGTGGCGGGGCCGCCACCAGCAGTGCTGCTTCGTCCGAAAGAAGAGCCTTCGATTCTAGGAGTTGTGGCAGGGGCAGTTGTTACAGGAGGAGTTGTTGCAGGGGCGGTAGTGCCAGGGGCGGTTGTTCCAGGGGCAGTTGTTGCTGGGCCGGTTGTTGCTGGGGGGGTTGTTCCTGGGTCGGTTGTTACAGGGGGAGTGGTTCCTGGGGGGATGGTTGCTGGGGGTACTGCTGACGGGGAAGGTGCTGCCGAGCTGCTGTTGTTGCTGGCGCTGTTACTGTTACCATTGTCTCCGTTAGTGGCATTACCGCTACTGCCATTGTCGCCGTTCTTTTTCTCTGGTACATCTGTACTGTTCCCCACGCTGCTGTTACTCCCGCCATCCCCGTTAGTATCCGAACTGTTATACCCACTCGTGAACTGCGCGCCGCAAGTGTAATCTCCAGGATATATCGCCGGAACGCAATTCTCCCCCGTTGTAATCACAGCCCCGTCCATCCCCGATGTAAGCCGAAACTTCAACGGCCCCTCGATATAACTCCAGCTGACCCAATTCGTGCCCCAGTCGTGCGTGAGCGGGCGCCAGTTGGGGTCGTTCTTAGATGACACCTCCACCAGTGCCACCTCCCCCGGCCCGCCCACGCGCAGCAGCAGCACGTTCATCCAGTAGTTGGTGCCGGTCACGCGGAAGGTGATGGACGTGGGGAATGAACATGGAACCCTGCTCGGGATGAAAGGAATTTAACGCAGGAGGGAGAGAGTGAGGTTGAGAAGGCAAGAAACGCCGACGGATGTGGGCAACGAGCAAGGGACTGGGTGCTGGGTGGGAAGGAAGGATGGAAACATGATGGGCACTGAGTAGCAGAGGAAAGGGAGGTGATGGAGAGAGAGTATCGTAGAGTGACGGAGAGTGACGGAGGGTGACGGAGAGTGACGTAGAGTGACGTAGAGTGACGTCGAGTGACGTCGAGTGACGTCGAGTGACGTAGAGTGACTCCCACGACGGGGTCCGCGATGATGCCGAACGCGGGCTGCCGGACTGACGGACCGACACCGACGGAGAGTGACGGAGGAGCGACGGACACTGACGAAGACTACCGGAAACTGACGCCATGCGCGCTCACCTCTGGTACGCGAGCGGAATAACTCCCGCGACGGGGTCCGCGATGATGCCGAACGCGGGCTGGCTGAGGTCGAAGTGCGTGCACGTGGCGCAACACACTCCACCGCCCGGACAGAAGTCCGTTATGGGCACCGTGATTTCCGCGTCCTTGCACCACTTGCTGTCCACGCACCGCACCCTGCAGCGGAGGAGAGAGCAGAGAAGGAAGGGGAGAGTGGGTGGGGAAGGAGAAGGGGTATGAGGGACTGTAGGTACCGTGATCTCCGCGTCCTTGCACCACTGGCTGTCCACGCAGCGCACTCTGCGGCGGAGATAGAGAAGCAGAAAGTAGAAAGATGGGGGGGTGCTCAAATGAGGGTTTATGGGCACCACCATTATGGGTGTATTCTTGTATATCTGGATGTCCGCGCAACACACTCGGAAGGAGGAGGGAGGGCGGAGGGGGGAGGGAAAAGCGGGGAATCATGAGGCGACTGTGCTGAGGGGGAAATAACATGATTTTTACCCAAGGGAGGGTTAGTCTAGGGAGAGAGAAGTCGTGGCTTACTTGTAGCACGCGCCGCAGCCTTTCCCGCCCTTGTAAAGCGGCGCACTTCCCGCCGCGATGAGCGGGCCGTAGCCGGATTCCGCAAGGACGCCGTATCCGCAATTGCCACCTGTCAGCACGCCATTGGAATGGATTTGAGATTCGAGTGAGCGAAACAAGTTACAATGTATCAAGGTGGCAAGAGAAGAAAGTTGCACGAAAGTGAGATGAGCGTGCGGTTGTAACTGCGTTACGATTCGTGAGTTGTGATTTTCGACCGAGAAATAATCATGATTGAAATCTCACCGTCGCCGCTGCCATAAAAGGTGGCCGTTGCTCGTCCCGTGTCGCCGTAAGAGGCTGATTCTGTAACAGTCGAGAGCACCACGATTGCGAATGCTACAGTGAGCATCCGAGCGTATGACAGTGGCCCCAACATTCGTACGCAACGTGTTGCCATGCAGTCGTGTTGAAATGTGACCGTTAGATTGATTCCACCTTTCTATGACGTTCTCCCGTGCTTTTGTTCTTCGCGCGTCACTCGTTGTCACCCTTCTAAGAAAGTATTCTTCTTGAATGAAAGTTACGAGCGTTGCTAGTACGCGTGTCGCTTTCGTTTGCTAAGATATCGAGTGGAATGGTGCTGGTTCGATGGCTTCGAATCACAGAGTGGAAAGTAAGCTGATTGAAAAAATGGTTCAATAAGACGCCAACTATGACGGGTCGCTAGTTGACGAGGGCTAGTGACATGAAGGTGCAACAGAGCGGTGCAGATACGCCTGGAACAGACTTGAGGCTCGCATCGAGTTGAGCTGAACAAAGTGGTGTGAAATGCCGTTGCCAAATGCGCGGCTCGCTGATTGTTCCACACGATTTGCTGGTGGATGGGGTTTTCCAGGTTCGCAAGGTGGGGGAGATTGACGAGCTGGCGCAGCGCCAAGTAGCCCTGCGATCGCTTTGCGACAGGCGGGAATGGCTTCACTGAAACCTCTGCGACGCTTCACTTGGTGTCAGATGTGGCGAACTGTGCTTCACTGTCGCACAAAGCCAGCACGTTGCCTTGGAGACTTGGACCTGGGCAGACTAACCCAGAAATCATTTCGTAAGGGTATGCAAATCTCGGTGCATGTGGATGAAATTCAAGCAGGGATTGGCTGGCCGAAGTGCTGGTAACCAAGCGGCTCGTCTGGCCCGATTCGCATCGAGGGGAGTTCGCTGGGTTGCCTCATTGACCCAAGGGGAGCATGGGCAGGAAGGCAAAACGAAGTGGGTGGTAATTTCTGCGATGTTGCCTAGGCCTAAAGTCTGACAGCTGCAATTGCCCTGACACAGTTACCACCAAGCATTTGAGCTGCCCGCTACATGAAATATTGGCAATTTGCCCCGCAAAATTACCGATCGAGTCGCAAGACGCGGTTCTGATTGGATTAGGGGCAACTTGACGAGGACGTATCAGAACGGTTGTTTTGTAATTTCAGCAGCACTTGTTATATTGCTGAGCATCGAGCGGTTCACAGTGGTAAGTCAGCGAATAATTATAATACACGTAATATACTACCAAACCAAACCCTGACAAAGAATCGAAGTACCTGACGTAACCTGAATGACTTCAATCATTTTGCTCGAGGCAATGAAATAAAAGTAGAACCCAAAACTCCATCCGGTTGAACTTGCACTTCTTATGAACAAGAGGTGTTCATCCTCTTGGAGCCTAGCTTCTCCCTCCCCAACTAAGGACAGGGCACAGCTATGTGCACATCTAAATAACCTACTCTGCAGAATGTAGTTTGCTTAAAAATCCCAAGCCCAACCCACTGCTGGTCATGATGCATCCTCGTGTACAGTAACACTCAATCTCAAACCACCACCTAATGCAGGCTTAGTTCCAAAGCCCACCCACCACTGCCTGAGTTGTAGTAACTGGCGATGCCACGCTGGCAGAACAGAGACGAGAATCAAATCTAGTAGTCCATGCCGCCCATGCCACCCATGCCGCCCATGCCGCCCATGGGGCTGGGCTTGGGATCTTCCGGAAGGTCAACGACAACAGCCTCGGTGGTGGTCATGAGAGAAGCCACAGATGCAGCGTCCACGAGCGCCGTGCGGATTACCTTGAGGGGATCGATGATTCCGGCCTTCACCATGTCCACGTACTCGCCTGGTGGATGGGGGAGCGGAGAGTGGGGTGGGGAGAAGACAACGCAAGGAGTGAGAGCTTGAAAGGGTCGATGATGCCCGCCTTCACCATGTCCACGTACTCGCCTGGAGAAGGGAGGGAGGCGGGGGGGGGGGGGGGGGGGGGAGAGAGGGAGGGAGAGCAGGGGTGATGGGGGAGAAGGGGAGGGGAAAGAGAAAAGAGAATAGTTCAAAACAAGTGTGGGTGAGTCAAGGCTGTGATGCCCTTGAGCAGCCTCGGTGGTGGTGACGAGGGAGGCGACAGAGGCAGCATCCGCAAGCTCCGTGCGCATCACCTTGCCCACAGCAACCCACAGCACCCCACAGCACCCCACAGCAACCCACAGCACCCCACAGCACCCCACAGCAACCCACAGCACCCCACAGCACCCCACAGCTGTGTTGCCGAAGACGTGTCCTGCGTCCAGCAGCTTGCCCACAATCACAGCCCATAGCATACACCCCACAGCCCCAAACAACAATCCACACAGCCAGTTTTATACACGCACCCTTGGCAGCGTCGTAGCCCCAGTCAAGGTTGCTCTGCTCCAACAGCTTGCCCACGATCACTGCGCCCTCCACGCCCGCATTGTTCGCGATGGTCAGCGCTGGCGTCTGATGGGGATGCGAGGTAGGCGAGGGGTGGGGTGGGAAGGGGCGGGATGGTGAGGAAACAGAGAGAAGGGAAGCACGGAGGTTGGCGTCGGCACAAAAGAGGAGTAGCAGAGAAAAAGGTTGCTCTGCTCCAGCAGCTCGCCCACGATCACTGCACCCTCCACCCCTGCGTTGTTCGCAATGGTCAGCGCTGACGTCTGAGAGGATGGGGAAGGAGGAGCCAATGGAGCGGTGGGGTGGGAGGGAGGGGCCAGGGTGGAGGAAAGACGGAGAAGGGGAACACAGAGGTTGGAGTCAGCAGAGTGTAAGCGTGTCAAGATCCCGGGAGACATACAGCAGAGACGATCATTTAAGACAATCACGGCACGGGACGTTCACTCACCCTCAGCGCGTCTCTGATGATCTGAATGCCCACTTTCTGGTCAAAGTTCTCAGCAGTGAGCGTGTCAAGATCCCTGGACGCGTACAGCAGAGCCACAGCACCAGTGAAAGGATAAAGCACAGGGAGGTACTCACCCTAAGCGCGTCCCTGATGATCTGAATGCCCACTTTCTGGTCGAAGTTCTCAGCAGTGAGGGTATCGAGATCCCTGGACGCATAGAGCAGAGCCACACCGCCACCCGGCACGATGCCCTCCTCCACGGCGGCCTTGGTGGCGTTCAGTGCGTCCGTCACCCGGTCCTTCTTCTCCCCCACCTCCACCTCGCTGGCTCCGCCGATCTGTGCACAGGGAACAACGCATGAGGGCAGGAGGGGCATCGGGGGAGGCAGTCAGAGGGAACACAGGGCGGCGTGAGCGTATGAAGAGGGGGGAGGCACAGTCACAGAGGGCACAAGGCACGATGCCCTCCTCCACGGCGGCCTTGGTGGCGTTCAGAGCGTCCGTCACCCGGTCCTTCTTCTCCCCCACCTCCACCTCGCTCGCGCCGCCGATCTGCAGGCATGGAGAGCAGAGAGGGGGAGGGCGGAACATGGGAGGAGGCTAACACACCGGGGCTACAGCACCCAGCAGCTAACACAGATGACACAGCACTCATCACTCATCACATACCACCCAGCACTGCTCAGCACCACTCAGCACCCACATGTCCGCCCACCTTGAGGACAGCCACACCGCCAGAGAGCTTCGCCAGGCGCTCCTGGAGCTTCTCCTTGTCATAATCCGATGTGGCGTTGGCCACTGCCTCACGGATCTGAGGAGAGAAAGGGGGGGGGGAGGGAATGGAAAAGAGGAGGGGCATTGGGTGAGGTTGTGCAATCACGAGCAGGGCGCTCCTGCAGCTTCTCCTTGTCGTAGTCTGATGCGGCATTGGCTACAGCCTCACGGATCTGTGAGTCAGGGGAGGGGGAGAGAAAAGGCATTGGGTGAGTGCGAAGGGGGCCGCTCCTGGAGCTTCTCCTAGTCGTAGTCTGATGTGGCGTTGACCACTGCCTCACAGATCTGAAGCGAGAAGGGGGGGAGGGTGGAGCGTGGGATGAGGAGAGGGCGTGTGATCGCATCAGAAGCAGGGCGCTCCTGGAGCTTCTCCTAGTCGTAGTCTGACGTGGCGTTGACCACTGCCTCACGGATCTGTGAGTGAGGGACATGGGGTGAGTAAGATGAAAGGAAGCGGGCGCTCCTTCCTGCCTGCAGCTTCTCAATGTCATAGTCTAAAGTGGCGTGGCTGCTGCCTCACGGATCTGCAAGAAAGGGAGTGAAAGGAACGGAGGGAGTAAGAGGAGTGGAGGAGATGAGGGGCGTGGAGTGAAACAGAAGTGAGCGGGGCTAGGAAACGAGAAGTGAAGGATGGCATGGGATGTGTCAAGTAACTGACCAATTGACGAAAAGTTTCAAATGACCAGCATAACATGTAGATTCCTTCTCACCTTATGGCACCGCTCCTCACCTGCTCACACCGCTCCTCCAGGGCCTTCTTGTCGCCAGCTCCATCCAAAACGATGCTGTCGTCCTTCGATATCGTCACCTGAGGGCGGCACACACAGCCACAGACACAGAGCAGCACGGAATCGAATGAGTTCCAAATACAAGAACAGAATCTGCAGAGGCAAAGAGCCCTGAAGCAGTAACCCCAATGAGCACAGGTAACCCTCCCATTCCACCTCTCCCCACCCCACGCCATCATTCCTTCTCCGCCCCATACTCCTTCGCCCAGCCCACCCTCCTTTTTCCCGCCAGCATACTTTCACCCCGCACAGCCGCTCGGTCACCTTCTTGGCGGAGCCCAGGTGGGACGCGCCCACCTTATCCAACGCCCAGGTCCTCAAGAATCCGCACAAACATACCCCCCCCCCTTTCCCCTGCAGTTGCACACATGTAGAGCCCCCCAGAATCGTCCCTCACCTTCTTGGCGGAGCCCAGGTGGGACACGCCCACCTTCTCCAACGTACCCCAGGTCCCTCGCATCTAGCGCGCACCAGGCAAACACATAACCCCACATGCTTGCACCTACACACATCCCCACGCACAGACGCTCGCTCGCCCCCTCACCTTCTTGGCGGAGCCCAGGTGGGACATGCCCACCTTCTCCAATGAATACCCCACGTCCCTCACCTCTCACACGAATATGTGCACACACCTACCCCCTCCTCTCCCCTCCTCCGACCCTCCCACCTTCCCCCACACACATAGACCCACACCCCGCCGCCCACGCACCTTCTTGGCGGAGCCCAGGTGAGAGACACGTCCACCTTCTCCAATGAGTACCCCAGGTGCCCACCTCTCTCACCAGTATACGCACACCCCGCACACAGACGCACACAGAACCACCCGAGCACCTTTTTGGCGGAGCCTAGGTGAGACACGCCCACCTTCTCCAGCGTGTACCCCAAGTCCCTTCGCCCCACACGCATGTACGCACACACACATACACACATACCCCCTCTTCTCCCCCACCCCCAACACTCATGTGCACACACAGCCATCCCCTCACCTTCTTGGCAGAGCCCAGGTGAGACACATCCACCTTCTCCAATGAATACCCCAAGTCCTCACTGATCAACTGCGGGGTCAGGGCGTGGGACAGAGGAAGAAGAGTGTGAATTGCACAGGAGGACAATGCAGACTCTGGCTGGTCAACTAGGAGGGGAGGCGGGGGAGGGGGTGGGAACGGCGGGAGAGAGAGAGAGTCAGGGAGTGCATGTGCGGAAGAAAGAAAGGGAACAGCCAAGGAAGTCGCTCGTGAGAAGGAGGTGCAGACGGAAAGGGAGGAGTGCACGAGAGAGAGAAAAGAGGAGACAAAAAACAGCAGGCATAAGCGAGTTGCAACAAAACGGAAGGGAGGAAGGTGGAATGGAAATAGGGGCTGGGCAGGTTGGAGGGGAGGGAGAGGGAAGGTGGTGAGCAGGTGGTGGTTGGGCAAGGGGCTCTTGCGGCAGTGTCCAGATGCAACGTACCTGGGAGGCGGTGAGCGTGGCGATGTCAATCATGTTGTTCTTCCTGTTCTCGCCGAACCCGGGCGCCTTCACTGCACACACCTGCCGGAGAGGAACAAAAAGGCATGCAGGCAGAGAGCGACCACAGAGACACGCAGCCAGAGCGCAGAACGCAGCAGAGAGGCCGAAAGTGAGAGGAGGCAGAGAGGCAGCGAGAGAGGGAGAAGGCAACACAAAAATAAATGCCTTGTTCTGATCTGCTATGCTTGCACGGCAAATATCCCCAGCCCCTCCAACCCCAAAGTCCTCAACCCCCTTACTCAGATGCAAATGCACTGATGCACCAACCCCACCCACGCGACACCCTCAGGCAACCCAGACTCAGCCCAAGTATGGCTCTCACCTTGAGCCCCGCCCTGAGCTTGTTCACCACCAGTGTCGCCAGCGCCCCGGCCCCTCTGATCGCATGCGAACATCCCTGCTCACATGTGGAACCCTCTAACCCCATAGCATCCCACCAGCCGTCACAAGGCGGGCGTCGCATCTCATCTTGAGCCCCGCCCTGAGCTTGTTCACCACCAATGTCGCCAGCGTCCCAGACCCTCGGAGCCAACGTGACCTAACCCCAAATCCCCTTTAAGACGCTTAGATTCCGCCAACCACCCCATGCACAGGTATGCATCTCACCTTGAGCCCCGCCCGCAGCTTGTTCACCACCAATGTCGCCAGTGCCTCGCTCTCCACGTCCTCTGCAATGATCAGCAGCGGGCGCTGGTACTGGTGGGGGGGAAAACGGAATCAAGGGAGATAGCAGGCAGGAGTTAGAAACGGTTGAGAGTGGCTACAGAAGGTAGGTAGGAGACAGGACTTCGGGGCTCTCTACAGGTTGGCATTGGTTAAGAATGGTTGATGGTGGTGTTGGTGGTGGTTCTGGTTATAATACTGGAGCTGGTGCTGGTGGTGACTATGAGAAAATTATGGGAAGAAGGCTGGGTGGGCGCAAGGTTAAGGGGCCGGGCTTTTCAGGGGCGGCTGGTGAGGTGCGACGGGTGAACTGCCCGGGGGGCATCAGGAGGGAATATGCATGAGGTGGACTGAGGGGGCTGTTGGGACAAGAGGGAAATCAACGGGGGGAGGGGGGAGAAGGAGGAGGGGGTAAGAAGGGAAAGAGAGGGAGGTGCAGGAGGCGAGGAGAGGTCTGAGTATGGACGAAAATGGAGTGGGAACACGCGGACGGGCGGGGACGTAGGTAGGGATAGGACAGGGGGGAGGGGGGAAAAAGGGGGGAAAGGGTTTGATTGAGGATTTACCTTGAGGGCGATTTCAAGGACGGGCAGGATGGAGCTGAGCCCAGCGATCTTCTTCTCGTGCACCAGCACCAAGGGGTTCTCCAGCTCCTGCGGAAGGGAAGGGGAGGAGGACGAGGAGGAGGAGGGGCAGGCGGACGGGGGAGAAGAGAGAAATGGGTAAATGGGAGGACGGGCAGGATGGAGCTGAGACCAGCGATCTTCTTCTCGTGCACCAGCACCAACGGGTTCTCCAGCTCCTGCAGAGGGGAGGAGGGTGGGCGGAGGGGTGAAAGGCGCGGAAGGGAGAGAAAAATGGGTATGTGAGATGAAATGGGTTTCAGAACCCTTGAAACCCCGAAACCCCAAACCCTGACACTACAAAATCCTTGACCACGTGGGTTGAATCTAGGAAAAGAGCAGCACTCACGCATTTCTGCGTCTTGGGGTTGGTGATGAAGTAGGGCGAGATGTAGCCGCGGTCGAACTTCATTCCCTCCACCACCTCCAACTCGTTATAGAGCGTCTTGCCGTCCTGTTATAGAGCAAGCAGGGTACAATCAAAGTTCGCCCAACTCGTTACCATGCCATCTTGCGATCCATCATTCATAAATCATAAACAGGTGGCAAGAGAGGGAAGCGTAGCGAGAAAAAGTAATGAAAAAAGAGAAGGAAATGAAGCACTCACCGCGACAGTGATAACGCCCTCCTTGCCGACCTTCTCCATGGCCCGCGCAATCAAATCCCCAATCTCCCTCTCGCCATTCGCCGAGATGGTGCCAACCTGGCAACGGAGAAGAGAAGAGTAAGAAAGGGAGGGGCAGCGGGGATGAGGAAAAAATGCCTTGATCACAATCTCTACTCCCTGTCACCCCTCTTACGACTGCACTTCAGAATCGCTCACTTGGAAAGTTTCCAAGCCACGTGTCTCACCTGGGCGATCTCCTCGGAAGTGCTGATGCGTCTGGAGCGCTCCTTGAGCAGCTCAATCACCCGCTCCACTGCCAGCGAGATCCCTCTCCTCAAATCCATGGCGTTCATGCCCGCGGCGACGGACTTGCACCCTTCCAGGAGAATCGAGCGCGTGAGCACGGTGGCGCACGTGGTGCCGTCGCCAGCGGTGTCGTTGGTGGTGGAGGCGACCTGCTTGACAAAAGAGAACCCATGCTCTTAGTGGAGTAGCAGCAGCAAACTGGGGGAAGAAACGCTTAAGCAACTAAACAGAACGAAACAGAGAATTTTCTTCCTAGAGATTCAAGTGGAACAAGAGATCAGCAAGGCGCCCGCGGTGTCGTTGGTGGTGGAGGCGACCTGCTTGACGAGGCTGGCGCCGAGGTTCTTGAGCTTGTCCTTGAACTCGATGCTCCTCGCCACCGTCACCCCGTCTTTGGTGATCTTGGGAGACCCGTATGGCTGCTCGATCACCACTTGCCGCCCCTGGAATAGGAGGGGGGTGGGGGCGAGGTGGGGTGGAGAAGGGAAGAGGAGGGAGAGGAGGGACAGGAGGGGGGAGCAGGGGAGAGGGGAGGAGAGGAGGGTACACGGGGAGAGCACAAGGGGAGAGGAGGAAGGGCGGTGAGTGGGGGCACCGGCGCCCGCGGTGTCGTTGGTGGTGGAGGCGACCTGCTTGACGAGGCTGGCGCCGAGGTTCTTGAGCTTGTCCTTAGAACTCGATGCTCCTAGCCACCGTCACTCCGTCCTTGGTGATCTTGGGCGACCCGTATGGCTGCTCTATCACCACTTGCCGCCCCTGGGGGAGGAGGGGGAGGTGGAGAAGGGGAGAAGAGGGGAGAGGAGAGGAAGGAGGAGGAGACGAGAAAGAGTCGAGACAAGGTGAATCGAGTGTGAGAGCAACGTCACGCCGTTTTTGGTGATATTGGATGACCCGTACGCCGTCACCACTACCGTACCCGCATCAACCATAGGCCCATGTGAGCACATCCCTGCCGTACCTTGGGTCCCATGGTGACCCGCACGGCGTCGGCGAGTTGCTCCACGCCTTGCAGCATGGCGGCCCGCGCCTCCACGCCGAACCGGATGTCCTTCGCCGCGAACCCGCGCTGCCATTGGTGCTGCGCACCGAGGCAACGTTACAAGCGGAGGGACGGAGGGACGGAGGGAGGGAGGGACGGAGGGAGGGAGGGAACATTACAGAAACGTCACACAAAGAAAATGAATAACGGGGGAACAGTAAGAGTGAATCTCTGCTTCTGCAACTGATGCGAGGGTGTGCAGATAACGGACAGCGAGGGGACGAGCGGTGGAGAGGAGCAGACGAGGGTGGAATGCGGCGACGAGCAGGAGGAGACGCATTTGCCGACTTTGGGTTGCCAACAGGAGGATGGTTGGAACGCTTGCGGATAAGGGTGTGGTACTTGCGGTGGAGGGTGTGACTATGTAGAAAGGGGTGCGAATGTGAAAGGGAAGCTGGGGGTCACGAGAAAGAGAGGGTGTGTGCTGTTGAAGCATCCGTACCTGAGCGACTCTGGTCGTTGAAAGGGTGTCCGTGATTGAGGGAGCAATAGACCCCATCGCCCGCGCGTCGCACGAGAATCAATCGCACGCATTCAGACGGCACAGGAAAGAGAGGAACGGGAGAACGAATACTCTCTTAACCCCGGAGTAATGAAACGAAACGGGAGAAGCGAGCCCTAACCAAACGGGAGAACGAATACTCTCTTAACCCTGGACGAACAGGAGCGAGCAACGATAGAGAGCAGCAACGGCGCGAGCGACATATTGGACGAACCTCATGCCATGAATCAGAAACACTAGCGTAATCAGCGCGATCAAAGCCATCAGTAAGTTCAGGAAAACAGGAACGAATAGATTCATGCATAATGGTATGGATCAGAGAGACGCATACCATACAGCGACATGCCTGGTCACGGACATGCCTGGTGAAGAGTATGTCTAGAGACACACATGCCTAGTAACTCTGGAGTCTCAGGACGTACGTGGCTTCATGGACGTGCCTGGTGCATTGATCAGAGCGGATCGGCTATGGTTCAGAGCGGATCAGTGCCTGGTGCTATGGTTCTGGAACCGTCGTGTCGTGAGTCGAGGCCACCAGAATCCAAAACTAAGGGATATTATTCAGAGTCTCGACCCTCGGTACAATAACTCATGTTTAAGTCTCAACAGCACCCAATCATTTCGATTGCATGCAGTCACTGATCGCATACCATCTACTTCATCGAGTATATTCGTCCAGTCGTTTCGATCGCATGCAGTCGTACCTGTGGCTAGCGCTCCCATTATTGGTGGACGAACGGGCTGCAGCAGCCCGAACCGCCGGCGACACTCGCAACAAGCTCCTGAACATGGCTGCTCGCTGATCTGAAACCCCTAGATACTAGATTCGTCTGATCGACGCGAGAACGATCGGATCCGACACGTGGAGAGGAAAATACGATGGGAAGCGAAATGGATGTTGGATCGAGGATGTTCAGGATGAACGGAGGTGATGAACGGACACGATCAGGCGAATACTGGTAAGAAGTTAAGTCGATATGGAAGAGCTAGCGGGTGTTCAGGGCAAGAAGCACTGGCCAGGAAGAGTCTTCAGGCCAGAGACTGGCAGAGACGCTGCAATGAGAACGCTGGAGCGAGAGGTGGAACGAGAAAGCTGACGATCAGGCTGAACATGCAGCAAATGAGCCAAGTTGAATCATGAATTCTACTAAACTAGGAGCAGAGGAGGCATGGCGCATGGGGCAAGGAGAGATGGAACGAGGTGAATCAGAACGAAGGGGCTTTCGTTATACGCACCGGAATTATTACTGTAGGTGGATGTTTCTATACGGGAATAAGAAATTTGTGTCACATTTTTGCGGCCCAGAAGGTTCGATTCGCTTCCAAACCAGCACGCAACTGCCACGTCACCGCTTCTGGTGGCCGCAAGGACTTTTTCGATGCTTCCATAAAGGGTGGAAGATTGATTCGCCTCGCAGCCTTATTTTTCTCGAAATTGGTGCACTTTGGAAAATAGTCTACAGTTCATGCTGAGTTCTCACCAATAACGTATCAGCTTACAGTCGGCGCAGCCCGAGGCCCATTGTAGCAACAACCGCAGCAGCCAATATTGCGTGAAGCATTTCTTGCGTGAGCTGCGCTTGCTCGGCTTTTATCGTAATCCTAGTAATTTGTGTCAAAGCGACGCGAGCGTGTTGCGCTCTGCGCCGTAGAGTTTCAATAGGCACACGTGGTCTTGGAGCGTAACCTCTCGCATCATGGCTCCAGTAGCGGCAGTTTCGCGCTCGACCGCCAAATCAGCCAGCCGGCTGCTTCTCATACAATCACATCCCTCGTTACCGTCGCCGTTCTACGCGATCCTCTCGTCGTGCCTTCACAGTTGCAGCAACCATGACGGGACCGCACGTGTCAGGAATGAGCAGAATACCAGCGATCATGGCAAATTCTCCTCAGTCATTGGCGGTGCTGCTGAAGCTTCTTCAGGAAACAGCAGCTTGCGATCCGTTCAACCCACTTCAGACCTCCAAGCGGATTTCGTGCAGCTGTCTGTTGGCGCCGTCAGATTTGACGGACAATCTCCGTCCACCGGCAAGCAGCCGCCCTCGTCGGTTAGATTAGCTGCTAGTCCGCTTCCCGCGCACCAAGCTTGCACTCCGCTTTTTCCACTGTCAACTGGCCATCGCAGTGCTCCCAACGAGTTTCCTACTCTCGGGGCCAGAAATTTCTCCTCGGCTTCTCGTCTTTCCGCAGTCCAGGCTGGTTCTGCCGGCTCTGCGGGTGCAGCAGCCCCCGCTGCGCGTAGCGGAGCAGTTAGTAGCGGGGATGACGCGGAGGGAGCAGGAGGCGGGTCGGAACGGAGGCTTGCGGATGAGATGATTGCGTTCGCGCAGACGTGCCTCGCGAGGGAAGGATTAGATGACGGTGAGTGAGTCAGGACGAGTCTCAACTCAGGGAGTCTCTTTGCTCTGCTTGTCTCTACTGGTCTGGGTTGAGACGTCTCATAAGTTGGACGAGCAGAGCAGGGATCCACTAATCCCTTCAGAGGGCAGGGATCTTCTCTTCAGTGGATCCGTTCTGAGGCGCCGCAAAGGGCGCTTTCTGAGGCGCCTTTTGAGGCGCCACAAAAGGGATCCACTGGGCCCTTTGGTCTCCTGTTCTGCGGATCCCTTCCCTTCCTCTGCTCCGCCACCCTCTTCCCTGGCAGCAGCGGCGGCACAGGAGGCGCTGAGGGTGGTGGAGCATGGGGCGACCATGCTGAGGGCGCAGGGCGGGGGGGAGGCGCAGGAGGGATGTAACTGCGTGGTATTCCTATTCTTGAATATCATCTGCTCGTTTCTTTCGTTTGTGCTGCTCTCCCCTGGCAGCAGCGGCGGCACAGGAGGCGCTGAGGGTGGTGGAGCACGGGGCGAGCATGCTGAGGGCGCAGGGAGGGCAGGCAGCAGCGTCGCAGGCAGCACGGTTGCTCCGCTTCAAGGCGGCGCTGCACCTCAGAGTGTACGTTCGCCGTCGTGAGGGATTGGGTTGGGGCTTGAGTTTTGAGGGGGACTGAGCTGGCCTGCTTGGGGATTCGACATTCGAGTCGACCATGAGGGCAGCGCGGCTGCTGTGCTGCTTCAAGGCCGCGCTGCCCCTCAGAGTGTACGTCTGCTTCCAAGCTGGCGTGAGTTTTGGGTTTTCACGTTCTCAGAGTAGGCTTGGGGCTACTTGTGTGAGTCGATAAAAAGGCCAGCGCTTTTGCTGTGCTGCTTCAAGGCCGCGCTGCACCTCAGAGTGTACGCTCGCCGTGCTGAGGATTGGGCTTTCAAGCCTACAGAATGGTTTGGTGTAACTCGTGTGAGTCGAATCAACAGGCAGCGCGGCTGCTCTGCTTGGAGGCAGGCAGCTCTGCACCTGAGAGTGTGCGTTTTCTCTGCTGGGGATTGGGCTTTCAAGCCTACAGAATTGCCACCACTGAGTCTTACAAACGTCAGCGCGGCTGCTCTGTTTGGAGGCAGGCAGCTCTGCACCTGAAAGTGTACGTTTGCTCTTTAGGGATTGGTTGTTGTCGCGTCCTCCCCTATCTAGTGTCCTCTTTCTCCCTCTCTCACGCCCGCGCCCCCTCCCCACACCCCCATACCCCATGCTGTTCACCCCACAGCCACGACAGCAGCGGAGCAGTGGAGGCATTAGAGGAGGTGGCGGCAATGGGGGATGCGGGGCTGTGCGAGCGAGGTGGGCAGGGCATGGGGAGAGAGGGCGTGGGGATATGGGCGTGGGGGGCAGAGCCGTGGGGGGGGGGAGGGAGGGGGTTGCGTGGCGAGAGCTGGAGGAGTGGGGTGGGAGAGCTGGGTGCGTGGTTGAAGGGTGGCATGAGATAAAGATAGGGGCATGTATCTGAGAAGGATGGTATGGGCTGTTGTGGGCTGTGGCGTGTACGCGGTCCATTCCTGTGCGTGGTGTTCAGGACACAGAAACACAAGTGGTCAAGGCTGCAGGAGCAAACAACGCAGCGTCACAGCAGCCGTGGCCACACAGGAGATTCAGAAGCAACTGTCTTGCCTAAACTCACCTCGCCTGACGCCAGCTGCTTTTGATTGAACCTCCTGTGTGGCCACGGCTATGGCTGCTGACTTGTTTGCTCCTGCAGCCATGGGCACTTGCGCCAGTATGTCCTGTACGTACACCACGCACAGAAATGACCTGGTTTTGTGACGTCTCAAAACTTCACTTTTACCACTTGCGCCAATATGTCCTGTACGTACACCACGCACAGAAATGACCAGGTAGCAGTAATCCCATGCCACTCCTGTTACCTGTGAGTGATGCTTGGATAGTATGGCATGATTTTTGAGACGTCTCAAAAGTCGATTTTATTTATGAGGAGCCTCAAAAGTCGATTTTATGTATGAGGAGCCTCAAAAGTCGATTTTATTTATGAGGAGCCTCAAAAGTACACCACTCACAGAAGTTACCCGGTAGCAGTAATCCCATGCCACTCCATGTTGGAGTTGCTTTTGAGAATTCTCCAATGTAATGTCATGCCGTGCCTGTTACCTGTGAGGCTTGGATAGTATGGCGTGGTTTCAACCTGCTTTTTATATTTGATCAGCGGATCTTTGCTTGGCATGTGGCAGTTGGGGTGTTGGAAGAGGTGGTTCGGATCCACCTCAGCGGCCATGCAGTGAGTGTTCTTGTAACGAGGGCTGATTCGTTTCCATACTAGTGGCTTTAGTAGCTTGGCTTGTGCCAAGGTTGCTGAGTGGTGCAGCACAACACAATGCAATCTAATCATGTGTGTGTCATCCTGCCTATACACGTTTATAATAATGTTGCTGTTTATTCGTTCTCTCCTCCTAAGAATCTGCGTAATTCTGCATGTCTCATCTCCTTGTAAGTTATTGAGTACTATAATAATAATAACAATGATATTCTAAACTTCGTTTCCCTTGTGAAATTCTGTTTCTTTTCTCTTGCTTCGTTGCATCTTTCCACCCTGATTTTTGTCTGTCGTGCACCTTTCTTTTCTCCTTTTCTCTCTTTCCTTCCCGCCTTCTCCCCTCTCCTCCCCTCCCCCCCAGGACGCACATGCTATGGAGTCTGCCGGGAGAGCCGCTGCATTGCTGCAACCACCAACACCCGCCCCATCAGCATCACCACCATCCCCATCATCACCATCAGCATCATCATCAGCAGCACCACCGGGGCTGGCATTCCTGCGCTTCCGAGTGCTCTGCTCCGTGGGGCTCGTGGAGCAGCTCTGCGGCCACATTGCCACTGGTAAGCCTTTATTGAGCGGCTGCTGGTAACCGAGTAAAAGTGCTCCTTGTAATTAAGTGCTCTGCCCTGTGGGGCTGGTGGAGCACTGTGCGGCCACATCGCCACTGGTAACCCTGTAACATGCTGGTGCTGGTAACCCTGTAGCATTGCTGTTAATTTTGCTGCTGGTTAGCATGTAACTGTGCTCTTGAAAAGTGTGTAACATTTCGCTTGTAACCTTAATTACTGTCCTTTGGTAACCATGTGGAGGGCTTGGTGATTGCATGAAATGTACTTGCTGCTGTAGGGAATCGTTGTATGTGGTTTCTTAGGTAAATGAGTCAGTGTTTGTTCTGTAATTTATTGCTCTTCTGGTGACCTTTTCCTCTGTTGTTGTCCCCTCCGTTCTCTGCCGCCCATACTCCTGCCGCCCAGCTCGGGAGCACTTCCAGGAAGCAGACGAGCTCGAGCCGCTTGACTGCAACTCGGTGCCGACCACAGGGCTCGCCCGGCTGGCAATGGCACTGCTCCTGCACTCCGTCGGCCAATGGGAGCAAGCCACGTCATACTACTCCCAGCTCATCCAATGCTTCACCGCACCTTCTCCCTCCTCACCCTCCTCACCCTCCTCCCCATCCTCCTCCTCACCCACTGCATCACCCACCGCATCGTCCCTCACGCCCTCACTGCATGCGGGGGCAGCAGTGCGTGTGGGGGCGCTAGCAGGCCTGGGGCAGCTGCTGCTGCTGCAAGGGTAAGTGCTGTGTTATGTCCGATCCACTTCCTCATATCCCTCCTCTTCCTCCATCTCACCCCCACCATCACCCGCGTTGTCCCTCACGCCCTCACTGCATGCGGGGGCAGCAGTGCGTGTGGGGGCGCTATCAGGGCTAGGGCAGTTGCTGCTGCTGCAAGGGTAGGTCCTCTGGTTCTCAAATTTTATTTTAGCCGAGATCGAGGCTCTGCAAGGGTTGGTGGGTGGAAGCGTGGTGGGGTGGGGTGGGGTGGGGTGGGTGGGTGGTGGGGTGGGGTGGGACTATTGACTCTTGTGGAGTGCGCAAGCAAGAGGGACAAGGTGAGTCGATTTTTGAGGGGCCTCAAAAATAGGGGTTGGTGGGTGGGTGCGAGGTGGAGTGGGAGTGGGTGGGACTATTGATTCTTGAGGGGTGCGCACACAAGAGGGACAAGGTGAGTCCTTTCAACACAGCAGTTGTTTGCAGGTGCTGCTAAAGGAGTCACTTCTGAGAGTTCGGGTTCGCAAAAGTGACTTTCAAGTTTCGAGACACGATTAACAGAAGGCGAGGCTTGTCTCTCCTTGCAGCGAGGTGACTTTTGAGTCGACTCAAATGTCACCTCAGTTACAGGTGCTGCTGAACCCTCGCCTTGCCTCCTCTTTGCACTTCTTATTGCACAAGGCGTGGCTCTCCTTGCCGATTTTTCTGTAAAGAAAAATGTCGACTCTTTTGCCTTGCCATTCTTCCTTTGCCCCTTTCTATCGCACTCGGCTCGGCTGCCTTCTGCTCACCTGCTCTCTCTACCTGCCCTTCTCAGCTTCGTTCACTCCCCTGCGTGTTTGCTCTTTCCTGTTGCTTATCCTTGCGTTTGCTTATCCTTGCGTTTGTTTATCCTTGTGTTTGCTTATCCTTGCGTTTACTTATCCTTGCGTTTGCTTATCCTTGCGTTTGCTTATCCTTGCGTTTGCTTATCCTTGTTTTGCTTATCCTTGCGTTTGCTGATCCTTGCGTTTGCTTATCCTTGCGTTTGCTTATCCTTGCGTTTGCTTATCCTTGCGTTTGCTTATCCTTGCGTTTGCTTATCCTTGCGTTTGCTTATCCTTGCATTTGCTTATCCTTGCGTTTGCTTATCCTTGTTTTGCTTATCCTTGCGTTTGCTTATCCTTGCGTTTGCTTATCCTTGCATTTGCTTATCCTTGCGTTTGCTTATCCTTGTTTTGCTTATCCTTGCGTTTGCTTATCCTTGCGTTTGCTTATCCTTGCGTTTGCTTATCCTTGCGTTTGCTTATCCTTGCGTTTGCTTATCCTTGCGTTTGCTTATCCGTGCGTTTGCTTATCCTTGTGTTCTGAGTAGGGATTTTAAAGGAGCAGAGGAGCATTTCACGGAAGCTCTCAAAGAGGCTGAGGCCATGGATGGTGATTCCTCCCTGACTCACCACTCCACTTTAACCCTCTCTGACTGCCCTTCCACTCATCTCTTTCTCTTACCCCTTACCCTCTAAAAGAGGCACAAGTCATTGATGGTAACTCGTCCCTGCCTCACCACTCCATGTTGCTTCAGCCGTCTCTTACTGCCCTTCCACTCACCCCCCTCCCTTACCCCCTCACCCCTTTCCCCATCTTCCCTTCTCCCATTCCGCCTCTTCTCTCTCCTGCTAGTCAATCATGCCACCATTTCAGTCACACCACCGTTTCCCTTCCATGCTCCTATCGCTCTCAGTTAACCCAATGGCGGCAGCCACATGGTCTCTGCGCGCGCACGCACACACACACACACACACACACACACACACACACACACACACACACACACACACACACACACACACACACACACACACACACACACACACACACACACACACACACACACACACACACACACACCGCCGTTTGTATTACACCTAGCATTGGCCCCACCATGCAGATAGCTCAGACTTCAATCCCATGGTGGGAGCCGTGCTGTCTCTGCTGGCTCACACACCTGCGACCATCACCACCATTTCAGTCACACCACCATCTGATCTCCTTTCCCCGCCCTTACCCCTTCAACACCCATGCTCCCACCAATGCAGATAGCTCAGACTTCAATCTGATGGTGGGAGCCGTGCTCTCTCTACTGCTGGCACACACACCCACCACCAGCTGCCACCCTCCCCCCTCTCCGCGCCCCATGCTCCCACCACGGCAGATACCTCAGACTTCAATCCAATGGTGGGAGCCGTGCTGTCCCTGCTGGGCGACACATATGCTCAGAGAGGCCGGCTGCAGCACACAGGGGAGGGCATGATTGCTGAGGTACGTGTTGTGAACCCTTCGTTTGCATAGAGGTAGTGGCTCGCTGGTTGCTGCACCCGTGTTTTCACTTCTGAGCGACACATGCGTCCAGAAAGGCAGGCTGCAGCACATGGGGGCACGATTGCTGAGGTACTTGTTCCACCTTGTTCCACCTTGTTCCACCTTGTTCCACCTTGTTCCACCTTGTTCCGCCTACTTTTTAACCCATGGCTGTCAGGGTCTCTTTCTCCGAGCACTGGCCTTCCTGGGAGCAGCACAGTGGGACACTCCTGTTCTTTCTTACACGCTGTTCTGACTTGTTTCCACCAACTTGCTCCACCTTGCTCCTCCACCTTGCTCCGTCCGTGCCTATCAGGGCCTCTTTCGCCGGGCGCTGGCACTCCTGGGGGCGGCACAGTGGGACAATCTGGATCACAGGCTGTCGCTGCTCGCAGGGGCAAATGGCTTGGCTGCAGATCAAGACCCAGACGAAGGTGAGAGTTGTGTGCTCTGCGCTGTGTGTGTTGTTTGCTATGTGCACTGGCACTCCTGGGGGCGGCACAGTGGGACAATGTGGATCACAGGCTGTCGCTGCTCGCAGGGGCAGCAGGGGGCTCGACTGCAGATCAAGTCACAGACGAAGGTATGCCATCACACGCGCTGCTGTGCTGCTGCTGCTGTGCTGCTGTGCTGTTGTGCTGTTGTGCTGCTGTGCTGTGTGTGGTGTTCAATGTGCTATGCCGTGTTTTTTGTTGCTCGCAGCAGCAGGAGGCCCATCTGCAGATCAAAATGCAGACAAAGGTATGACTACGCTTGTCTCACTTTTGAAAAATCACAAAAGCGACACAATATTCATGTGTGCATGTGCGTTCTGTGCTCTGGTGTTCTGTGCTCTGGTGTTCTGTGCTCTGGTGTTCTGTGCCATATGCGATGTGTTTCTCACAATAATGCCACACGAAGTTCGAACATATTTTCTGAGAAAAAGACGCGTTCTTCCCTGTGGCATGTGCATGGGTGCGTGGGAGTGCAGAGCAGCTAAAGGATCGGAAGAATCGAGTGCTGCAGCTGGACCTTATTGCAATCACCCTCGGTGAGTCCATCTTCAGGTTGTTGCGACGAGTCAACAAGATTAGTTGGCTTGCACGACAAGGTAAGAACCGGAAGAACTGAGTGCTACAGCTGGACCTTAACGCATTCACTCTTGGTGAGTTGAGTTAAGTATACAAAGCGCCCACCAAAGTTGCTTGCACCTGTAAGTTTTCTTGCAAGCATTCAGTTTGCTTGCGCACCAAGGTAAGGACCGGAAGAACCGAGTGCTGCAGCTGGACCTCATCGCATTCGCACTCAGTGAGTAGTGCCGCACTCTCCTCTTCCCGTTGCACCAAGGTAAGGACTGCTACACCTAGCAGCTGATCGTTTCTCCAGGAAAGGGAAGCGTCACTCTTTAGAATTGCTGCTCTTCCACTATGAGCGAAGACCGTTGCACCAAGGTCAGGACTGCTACCAGCTAGCAGCTTGACCCTATCGCATTCTCAGTTTTGTTCTGCCGTGCCAGAGTGCTATGGAGCTGGCCTGCAGGCCTTCCTCATGTGGGCCAGTGTAGTCAGCACTGAATGATTCACAGTCTCGCTCACCCTTCCAAACTATTTTTGAGGCGCCTCAAAAGAATGATTCACAGTCTCGCTCACCCTTCCACACCATCCACTCCCACTGTCAATGCTGCTCCATGCTGCCCTCAACCCCACCAGAGCGCTATGCAGCTACCCTGCATGCCTTCCCCATGCGGGCTAGTGAGGCGCAGAGCATGAGTGCTGCCGCCCACCACCTCTGGCGCTCCCCCCTCTCCCTCCACTCAGCCGTCACCTCTTCTCGAGTACCTGCTGCTGCTTTCGAGCCCACAGAACATTCAATTGTTTGTGCCGCTGACAATCCTAGTGCTTCGTCCGGATCTGTTTCGGCGAATGACTCGGTTCATGCATCGCATTTCTCGCTGCCTGCACCGGTGGTCGATGTGACGACTGGCAGGGTGCTGCTGTCGTGACGCGGTAACGATTGCTGTGTAGGATGACGTTGATGGTTTGTGCAGCTCATTTGTCCTGTCCTTCAGCAGTAGTTAACGTAACAACGGGAAGGGTGCTGCTGCTTTGATGCAGTAATCATTGCTGTGTCACAGTTCATGGATGGTTATTGTAGTGTGTTCATATTGGTTACCATTTGCTTTAGGAATCTAATCAGCAATACCACGATCATTAGAGTCGAGGTTTAATGCAATATGTTTTGGAAATGATGGCTAAAAAAACTGAGAATGGGTGGCTAATGCACATCTCAACCTGTACCCCAACATTGTGCACAGCACAACACTAACTTTGGATGTACGTTCGCTCGCCCCTATTGTCAAACATTATATGTTCATATTGTGTAGGCTATAGTGGGTTTAGCCTTAGGGGGTACAGCTTTGTTAGGGTTTCCTATATGTACTCAACTGCTTGCTAGTGAAACCCCTCCTTTCTTCATTCTTACTTTCTACTGCTAGTTCTGACATGGTATCACGAGCCTAGGTTGCTACCTAGGACCGCTTTCTACTATGGGCCCACTATTCCGCTAGAAGCGCCCTCGTGCGCCCTACCTTACGTGCGCCCTCGTGCGCCTTTCTCTGCTAGTGCGCCTTCGTGCGCCCTCGTGCGCCCTCGTGCGCCCTCGTGCGCCCTCGTGCACCTTTCTCTGCTAGTGCGCCTTTCTCTGCTAGTGCGCCTTCGTGCGCCTTCGTGCGCCCTCGTGCGCCCTCGTGCGCCTTCGTGCGCCCTCGTGCGCCCTCGTGCGCCCTCGTGCGCCCTCGTGCGCCCTCGTGCGCCCTCGTGCGCCCTCGTGCGCCCTCGCGCCGCCCCTGCAGGTCCGTCAGGCCCCCGAGCCGCCTCTGCAGACCCATCAGGCCCCCCCCGAGCCGCCTCTGCAGGCCCGTCAGGCCCGAGAGCCGCCCCTGCAGACTCGTCAGGCCCGCGCGCAGCCTCTGCCCGACCGCGCGCCGCCCCTGCAGGCTCTCGCCGCCTGCCCGCGGCGTCGTCACCTGCCCGCGACGTAGCCCCTGCCCGCGGCGTCGTCGCCTGCCCGCGGCGTCGTCGCCTGCCCGCGGCGTCGTCGCCTGCCTGCGGCGTCGTCGCCTGCCCGCGACGTAGCCCCTGCCCGCGACGTCGTCGCCTGCCCGCGGCGTCGTCGCCTGCCCGCGGCGTCGTCGCCTGCCCGCGGCGTCGTCACCTGCTCGCCGCGTCGCCCTGCCCGCGGCGTCGCCACCTGCTCGCGGCGTCGCCCTGCTCGCGGCGTCGTCACCTGCTCGCCGCGTCGCCCTGCCCGCCGCGTCGCCCTGCTCGCGGCGTCGTCACCTGCTCGCCGCGTCGCCCTGCCCGCGGCGTCGTCACCTTCCCGCCACGTCGCCCTGCCCGCGGCGTCGCCACCTGCCCGCCGCGTCGCCCTGCTCGCCGCGTCGCCCTGACCTAATCCGCGCCTGGCCTCTGGAGCAGCCACCCCTGCAGCAGCCGCCCCTGGCCACTGGAGCAGCCGCCACTGCAGGAGCTGCCCCTCGCCCCTGGAGCAGCCGCCCCTGCAGCAGCCGCCCCTGGCCCCTGGAGCAACCACCGCTGCAGCAGCCGCCCCTGGCCCCTGGAGCAGCCGCCACTGCAGCAGCCGCCCCTGGCACCTGGAGCAGCTGCCGTCGCGGCCCGGCCTCGCCGTGCAGCAGCTGCCGCGGAGCTCCCTGCTGCGGCCCGGCCCCGCCCTGCAGTTGTAGCGGCCCCGCTGTCGCCACCGTCTTGCGCCTGCCGCGCCGACCACTGGTGAGCATTGCCCTGCCAGCACTGCTACCGCTGCTACTGCTGCTACTGCCTTTTCTACTCCCACTGCTACTGCTCCTGCTGTTACTGCTGTTACTGCCGCTACTGCTACTACTGCTGCTTCTGGCGTGGCCAGATGCAGCTCCAGGGCCGTGCGCGTGAGTCCCTCACGCCCCAGCAGCTTCGTGAGTGGTACGCTAGTTGGGGCTGTCGGGGTGTGGTAGTCGCTCTGGAGTGGGTCGGTCGGGAGCTTCTGGTAGTGGACAGGTGCAGCTGCCGTGTCCTCTTTCGCCCCAGCAGCTTCGTGCGTGGTACGCTAGTTGGGGCTGTCGGGGTGGCCGTAGTGGTAGTCGCTCTGGAGTGGGTCGGTCGGGAGCTTCTGGTAGTGGACAGGTGCAGCTGCCGTGTCCTCTTTCGCCCCAGCAGCTTCGTGAGTGGTACGCCAGTTGGGGCTGTCGGGGTGGCCGTAGTGGTAGTCGCTCTGGAGTGCGTCGTTCGGGAGCTTCTGGTAGTGGACAGGTGCAGCTGCCGTGTCCTGTGAGTGAGGCTGCCGCTCTAGGTGCTAGTGCGTCTGTTGCCCTAGGTGCTGGTGAGGCTACCACTCCCGGTACTCGCGTGTCTGCTACCCCAGGTGCTGGTGAGGCTGCTGCTCTAGGTGCTAGTGAGTCTGCGCCCCCTGGTACTGAGTCGACTGAGGCACTGCACACCTTCACTCTGGACTCAGGTGCTTCTCGCTGTTTCTTTCGTGACCGCACTGCCCTTGAGCCGCTTGCTCGGCCAGTTGCTGTCTCCCTCGCTGACCCCTCTGGGGGTCCGGTCATTGCGACCTCCTCCACTGTCCTTCCTTGTCCTGCGGTCCCGTCGGGCACACTGTCAGGTCTCCACCTCCCCTCGTTCTCTACGAACTTGGTGGCGGGTTGTGCGCTCCAGGACGGGGGTGTTCACCAGTTCACCCCTGCCTACGAGCGCGTGACACACTGCACGTGTGCTCGGACGGGCCGTCACCTGGCTACCTTCACTCGGCAGCCGGGGTCGGACCTGTACACACTGACCACTGAGTCCCCTCAGGTAGCTGCGTCTGCGTCTGCGTCAGGTCAGCTGTCGGCCCCCTGCTCGTGTCGCTCTCTGGCGCACGAGACCGTCCTCTGGCACCACCGACTTGGTCACCCGTCCGTGCAGCGCCTTCGTGCCATGCACAAACGGTACCTTGTCTTTGGTCTTCCCAGGGTTCTCCCTCCCCTCCCACCCTCGCCTGCTCCTCCCTGTCTTCCCTGTGTCGAGGGGCGGCAGCGCGCCGCTCCTCACTCCTCCTCGTTTCCCCCGACGACTGCTCCCTTGCAGACGCTCCACATGGACGTGTGGGGCCCAGCCCGCGTCCGTGGTCAGGGTCAGGAGAGGTACTTCCTGATAGTTGTTGACGACTACTCGCGCTACACCACGGTCTTCCCCTTGCGCACCAAGGGTGAGGTCCCTGATGTTTTGATCCCTTGGATCAGCGCTTCTCGTCTCCAGCTCAGCGAGCGTTTCCACTCGGACTTTCCTGTCCTGCGCTTGCACTCTGACAGAGGTGGTGAGTTCTCCTCCGACCTCTTGGCAGCCTACTGTGCGGAGCACGGCATCCGCCAGTCGTTCACGCTTCCGGCCTCTCCACAGCAGAATGGGGTTGCTGAGCGCCGCATTGGCTTGGTCATGGAGGTCGCTCGTACCTCCTTGATCCATGCGGCTGCCCCCCACTTTCTGTGGCCGTTTGCAGTCCGATACGCTGCGCATCAGCTCAACCTCTGGCCCCGTGTCTCCGTTCCAGAGACTTCGCCGACACTGCGTTGGACAGGAGAGGTTGGCGATGCGTCACGCTTTCGGGTCTGGGGATCTCGAGCCTTTGTTCGCGATACGTCCGCGGACAAGCTCTCCTCCCGCGCTGTTCCTTGTGTCTTCCTTGGCTTTGTCCCGGACGCGTCTGGTTGGCAGTTTTACCACCCCACCTCGCGCCGTGTCCTGCCTTCTCAGGACGTCACTTTCGACGAGTCCGTCCCCTACTACCGCCTCTTCCCCTACCGCACTGCCCCGCTTCCCCCCCCGCCTCTCTTCCTCGCGCCAGGTGCTGCTGTGGTAGACCCCCTCCCCCCTCAGGGTGCCGCTCCCTCAGGTGTGTCCCAGGTAGACCCGGTTGAGCCTGTCGAGGTAGCTGTCGACTCTCGTCCTGCTAGGGGTGCTGAGCCTGAGGGTGCTGAGCCTGAGCGTGCGGAGCCTGGGGGTGCGGAGCCTGGGGGTGCGGAGCCTGGGGTTGCGGAGTCTGGGGGTGCGGAGCCTGGGGTTGCGGAGTCTGGGGGTGCTGAGCCTGGGGGTGCGGAGCCTGCGGGTGCTGAGTCTGGGGGTGCTGAGTCTGGAGGTACTGAGCCTGGGAGTGCTACACCTGGAGGAGCTCTCTCCTCACAGCAGCTGCGTGAGTGGTACTTACAGTACTGCAGCCTCAGGAGAGATGCTTCTGGAGCCAGGAGTACTGCTGGAGCTGGTGCTAGTGCTTCCCCTCCTAGGAGGGAGCTGCCCTCTCCCCAGCGGCTCCGAGAGTGGTACGCACGGCGCTGCAGTCTTCGTAGTGGCGCTCCTAGTGTCGCGGACCCAGCTGCTGGAGGTTCTGCTGCTGGCGGTGCTTCTGGCGCTGCTGGAGGTGCTGCTGGTGCTGGAGCTGCTGGTGCTGCTGACGCTGCTGGAGGTGCTGCTGGTGCTGGTGGTACTGCTGGTGCTGCTGGAGCTGCTGGAGGTGCTGCTGGTGCTGGGGCTGCTGGAGCTGCTGGAGGTGCTGCTTCTTCTGGAGGTGCTGCTGGTGCTGCGGACTCTGGAGTTGGAGCTGCTGCTGGTGCTGAGGACCCGGGCGTTGGAGCTGCTGCTAGTGCAGCGGACCCGGGCGTTGGAGTTGCTGCTGGTGCTGCGGACCCTGGAGTCGGAGCTACTGCTGGTGCTGAGGACCCTGGAGGTGGAGCTGCCGCTGGTGCTGAGGACCCTGGCGCTGGTGTCTCTGCTGGTTCTGGAGACGCTGCGCGGCCGCGGCCGTACTTCGTTCCGCTCCTTCAGCAGGTTCTTGGTCAGCCTCCTCCTCCTTGTCCTCCTCCCTCCTTAGAGTGTCCTCCGTCTGTCCAGTCGCAGTCCTGGTCCTTCTCCTTACACTGGTCTGACTGGAGGTCTTACGGAGCGTCGTGAGCCTGAGTCTCGTCCTGCG